CGGAAATGGCGGATGTGAGAGGAAGAGTGGGGTTTAGGGTTTTTTAAATAGAAAAATTATGTTTTTGACGATTCAATTTTGGCGCGAATTGAAACGAATGTTTTTGGTAGTTAAAAATTCGCGGGGGCATTTTTTTGGAGGCAAAATTACTGTTACCATCTCACCGTTAATTTAATGTTTAACGTCAATCTCGCCGTTAATTTTAGCTAATCAAATCTAAAACATTAATTTCCTTTTTACACAACCAAACCCATTTAAGCATTTTCATTTTTGGTAAAATCGGTCAACAAAATTTCCAACAATAATATGTATTTGCGTAACATATCCATCCATTAAACAAGTTAAATAATAATGATTGGAGGGTCGGCCGAGCGAGCCAACCCTATGGTTTGTTCCAGAAATTACGTCGGCCATATGTCTTGATTGCCATACAGCACTCACCCCTCTTGGGCTGAGCGTGGCATAAATAGCCATCCGACCCTTTTTAATTCTTCGCCTTCAAGGCCCATCTCCATTATATACAACCCTTACTCTACTTCCTCACTCCCTCCTTCCCGATGTGGGACATCATAACTAAGTAACACACAAATTACAATTTTGCCATTTCTTGCTATTTGCAAATATATTCAGGGATGGTGAAACTTTCTTTTTTTGCTGCATGTCATGTATATTCTCGCTAAAATAAAGGGATCTCCTTTTGTTGAATTCATCAAAACACACACAACTTTGACAATACTAGAAACAAACCATAATACACTTAGGAATTGATGAAACACATTGCTTGTGCTTGTATGTAATAAGAGTCTCTGTACTTTTTCCCACTCCCTACGTGAATCCCATTCTGTATCCATTCGTTTCTGTGTATCCATGCCTCCCTCCCAAAGTCCAAGATCCCCAGTAACTGTCTCCAGTTTTACTTACAACATTTCAGTATATCTCAATCATATTCATGCCTGAAACCAAGAATGGTTGGAAACGCAAAAAAAGAAAACAGACGTACCGCTCCTCCTTTCCAAGGTATGAATGTTGGGTCCATTCTCGATTGCAGAACCTCCACTGTGTCAATGGCTTCTGTTGGTGGTATTGCGTGAAGAACTCTGAAACGGTGAGAGGAGAAGGGCAGAAACTAATATTACTTCACAGAACAATCTGTTTGTTTGGACCTTAGAAAACAAAAAGTGTTTCAAGGAAACAAACACAAACCTTTCTTCCACGGCCGAGACAAGACCTTTAGTCGAACCAACACCACCTATCTGAGAAGAAGCAAAACGACCAAGCATTCCATAATTAACACATTTTAGGCATGGAAGAGTTAAACTTGAGTGTTTGAAAGAAAAAGGTTTTACCAATTGTATGCTAGAGAATAGCTTTCGCTGAAGTTCTATGCGTCCTGCAATCCAAACAAACGAAGAAGGTTTTTGTTAGGTTTTGCCATGCCTCCTAATAGCAAGCAAAGAGAATGAATTACAACATGCATACCAGCAGAGAGAATGCTGCTTGAAATGGCTTCAGCGAGACCAATCTTCTCTACTTTTTTTGGTTTCAGAGGAGAAACTCCAAAACTATCCCACACTGGTAATCCCATATTACCACCACCTGCATAGTCCATGTTCCATGTTTCCTCTAACATATTCTCGTGGTCTTGGAACCTAACCAATATGCAAATGTTTTAAATCGATATCTCCCGGTCCAAAACTAATAAAGAAAAAGAAGAAAGGTGACTGACCATGTCCGTGGTGGCTGGGGAAACACTTCAGGGACCAGGAGGTTGGGATAAAACAGACCCATCGGTGGAACCTGAAATAACCAAAGGAAAGCTTTTCAAGACTAAAACATAAGAGATCATTAACAGAATGATAACTTGATCATCTTTCATGTTACGTTCAGCGAGGTGAGATTTGTCTTGTGAGGTACAGCTGGCATGGCATCCTCGTAAGAATGGGCGGTAGCAACTGTTTCAAGTTCTCCTTCCTGTGTATGAACAAAGTGTATTAGTTTCAATATTCCATATCAAGATAATAAACAACAAAGAAGATCCAACTAACTTTAATATCACAATATGACTCCTTAAGTTGATTGAGCATCAGCATATCAACTGGCTTTGCCAAAACGTCTGAGTGGATTTGTGGCCAGTTTTTGTAATGCCTCTGAATCCACAGAAGGCATCTAGATATATCCTGACAATTACACGTAGATGAAAAAATTTGACTACGCAACGTAGCCATTCTAGAAATAGAAAGAAAAACAAAAATATATCCTTACATCTCCTCCAAAAGGTAAAATCTTTTCAGTATTTGGCAATGAGACTCCGTCCTACAAAACGAATCAAGCAAGTATAAAACAATTATAATAGCAGAAAGATGTCGGCTAGATTTTCTCATATTCTGCTAATACCTCGATACAAACAACTGTACTTGTCTGGGCTCCCATATTCACAATACAAGCTGTTGACAAACCATTCCCAAAAATGGCAGATAGGCCTTCTTGGTGGACCACTGCCGAGCTAAACCGTAGGTCTCGCAACACGATAGTTAACATTTCCTTTATTTCTGATATATATCATGAAGCCAAATCAGAATACTAGTTCACATCGATCAAAAGTATCTTGATGAAACTGAAAAAGGCTACAATAAGCATTAACAAGTTTACCGCGACTGTCAAATGTTTCTGGGACAACAAGAACAGCAGAATACAAGTTTCTCTCACTGGGAGCTATATGAAGTTTATCTAATAAAACCCAGTCCCAGATAGCTGTTAAATCCTCACAAACCTGGAAAGTAGATGTATCAAATTAGTAACCAGAAAATTCCATCCACAAAGAATACAGGAGAAAGAACTATTCAAGCTATATATACCTGTTGCGCTGAATAATGTGGCGAAACATTGAAGTGACCCCTACGAATAGGACAGTGTACGCAATATGGCTCTTTTGGAGATATTGTCATAGCTTCTTCACCAAAAATCATCTTCCGATACTTGCGCTTACTCTCACTAGTATCCTTAGAGTCGGTAACATCAGGATCAGCTCTAGTTGCGCTGGCGTCACTTCTATCAGCAGATGTTTCTGTACAATTGGTTTATACAATAAAAATAAACATTAACACCCGGCATATGTATGTTCAGAGAAATCCTATTCCGGTGTATATAGCAGACACGGATCTCTATATAGTAACTTGGTAAGCACTGAGCAAATGGGTAATTGATAAAGAAGAATTCCCTATATGTACTACTTCCTTTCAGGGAATCCAAGAAAGCTAAATTAATCTTAACGAGGTCAACGAAGCAAAATTTAATGTGTGCCAAGCGAGTAAGACATGAAGGGAAATTGAAATAGAAGAAGAATGAATTAGAATGACACCTGATGTGGCAGGCAAACTTTGCTCGTCCTCATACACATTAGTCCAAGTAAAGACTGTATCTTTCTTCGTAGTACTCCGTTGATTGTATCCATCGATCCTCCCCATTTGCATATGCTTTCAGAGGTTTATAACCAAAAGAGTAAGAACAATCAGTGCTTACTCATTGAAGCAAAACCTCGCTGAAGTGAATAATACTATGCTAATTGTAACAACATTAAAGCAAATTAGCGAAGTATTCGACTTACCTTGCGTGATGCAGAGCCAAAAGAAGAACTCTGGTCCAGGTATGGTATCTTCAATAGCGATGCCACCTTTCAGTAAAATCGAAAAAAAAATCAACACCAAGAACTAATTCTAGTGACAGAAGAAGCAAAAGTGAAGTAATCATATATCTCGTAGTTGTTCTTACAGTATTGTAAGCTCTCTCACGTTCAACACGTTGACTAGTAGTGACCTCAGTGTTAAGCATCTGGGATTTACAAAGAACACACCATCAATCACATTCATTGAAAGGAGCAAATCTACACAAGTAATAAAAAATGAACAATCTTTAAACAAAAGAACTACAAAACCTGATCAACAACGTTTGGTTTCCAAGCTTGTGTGTTGTGTCTAGCAATGCAATGAGGGACATTGAAAGGTGTCTCTTGCTTAGCTAATCCAATTCTTACATTTCCAGACCCTAATTCACATATACAAGTTTCCGTTAAACCCTTAAAGCTTTAAACTTTGTTTCGTTGATCGAAATTTCAAAGAAGGGGATAAGAGAAAGCGATAAGGGCACCTGGGTTAAAGACAACGAGATTCGATCCTCGTTCAGATACAAGCTGAGACGGAACAACAGTTTTCAAGTAATCCTGTGACAAATTCTGCATATGAATTGGATTTCGAGGGTTTCAAGGAAACCGGTAACACTCG